TCGGTCTTACACGGCGATATCAGTGCAAATTAAATAACGTTACATGTTCATTAGGGTGCATAACAATAATTGATGATGAACATTGTGGCGTGTTCGAACCTTCGACAGATGCAAACATATCAGACTAGTTTTCGTGTATTTAAACACCGGCTCAAGAAGATTTTTTTGAAGTGTTCTCACTTCAAATGATGGATTGATCATTACTAAGTTTTAGAAGATATTTGTGGTGGACTTAAGTCTACTGATGCAACCTTGTCAGCATTAGTCTTTTTTACCAGTTTATCTAGTAACTCTCTCAGATTGCAGCAGCTCTTTCGATAGACAACTTGAACTGAACATTTATCAATTTACTAATTTTTAATGAAAATTTAACGGCTACGCAGGATATGGAAACAAACAATGGTTTTCGCTCAGACTTTCCATCCAGGTGAAAAGTGAGAGATTCATTTCAACTGCATCAGGGTCGACAAGTGAACGATTAATTAATCGCACCGCCATAACTTCTGACGTTTCGATTCTAGCTGTGGTCAGTACATAACTTGATGACCAATATTAAAATATCAGTACTTTTCGAGATTGCCTGGTGGAAATGTAGCTTCCATGATTTTTAAAAAATCGAATGAGCGGTCTGAGTTTCGAAGAGGTCGGAGGAGGCAGTTACTTCGACGTATATTTTATCTTTTCAAAAATTACACAGTACTCCACGAATCAATTTTCAATGACCTCAAATATTATGTTCGGCGAACAGCAATGCGGTCGACCTTGCACATCGTAACGTGCGTATACCAACACCAATCACGTAATCGAAATCTAAATCATTGTAAAATTATGCCTTATGACTAAGGTCAAGAAGATAATTAGTGAACTTTGAACAACAACACAAAGACTATCAAGAGAACGCTTTCAACATATTACAAAAGAATGACCAAAAGTCACTTGCTTATGATCACGACGGGAGAGAAAAACAGTGAGGACATTTAACATGCCCGATTATCCAAACAGTAACTGAAGCTGAAGACTGAACGACCATGAAATATTCACTTTAATAGCGGAATGAAAATCAACGGAAGATCTGAATTTACAAATTCGACATCACAACAGAACAAGGAGCATTAGAATCGCTAGATTCTTGGCGCAGGCACTGAGCTGATCATGAAGTCTGACGGTAAGCCGAAGGTCATCAGCGTCCTTCTGGCTTCGTCCCTGACCAACACGTTGTGATCGTGGTTGCTGACGAACAGGATGGCTTTGGCCGCTTGCTTCGCCTGAAACATACGTCCCGATAATACGGTGGCAAAGAACTTGAAACACGGCCTGATCAAAATATCGGCATTACATTCAGAACAGCCAGCGCTCGACAGGCACCTCGTCTGGACAACGGATCGTCGTGTTCCAACAATGTCACGTAAACTGAGATCACTTCGTCGTGAAGCAAGCCTTGTAGGTGAAGCAGGTAGCCTTCTGAAAGTAATCGACTTTGTGGTTGACGAAAATTTTTCGCCTCATCGTCTCACCGGCATACGCATGCAGCTGTATGAGCTTGTCCACTAGGATCATGCTCACGTACCGAAGACAGTTAAACGGGGGCAGAACCGGTATCAACTTTAACCTCTCCATCACGGCCCTAACCTGGCAGACGTTCCGCTGTTTCAGGCTTTCTATGATCCATGCTACAACAGTTGGTATAAAATAAGCGGTACGGTCTGATCATATTAGACAGTCACAGTAACCATAAGTAATCATAAAATTTCTCTACCACCGAAAAGCTGCTTTCGTTACCGGAACAAATAATAGACATCCAACGCTGTATCATTTTACGCGATTAAACTCATAGAATAAGAACTGCCGGGTAATCAGACACCATCTTATCCATGACTCTAAGGGCGTCCAATTGGCAGATAAGAAGGAAGACCTTAGAAGGTGGAAACAACAATTCCAACAGCAACTCAACAGCTGTTTTTTACATTGCCTTTTCCTATCGTCAATTTCCTAACAACACTAGAGGCTTGCATAACCGTCTATTAAACCAGAAATTCAGATGCAATTCATAATAACGAAGGTCTGCGATGTGGATTAAATTGTCCCTGAGTTAATCAGATATGGCGGAATGTAAGTAATAGAAAAGCTCCATGCCTTATTTCATAAAACGTAGACCTCAA